TATCCCCAAATACATGACTCAGAAACCATAAGAGCTATTAAAGTTCATTGTTGTTTAAGCCACTAAGTTTTGGATATGCACCAATAAATAACCAGTAAACACAATTAGATAGCTATATTACTTGCTAATATACTTATTGTTTTATAAAAAAATTATTGAAAACATTTACATATCCAGTAATCTAATAACTCATGCTGAAGATTGAAAGTGGTTCATAGGCCTATGTTCATCTACTTTTGCATTCACCATAACTTTTTGTTATCCCCACAGCTAAATTGCTAAGCTACTTTCTAAACACTACATATTTATTTATTTATTTATTTATTTACTTATATTTTTATTTTTTTTAGAGAGGGAGGGGGAAGTTAAGGAGAGAATCCTGAGCAGGCTCCATGCCCAGTGCAGAGCCCGATGTGAAGCTCCATCTCACAACCCTGAGATTCTGACCTGAGCCAAAATTAAGAGTTGGATGCTTAACTGATTTACCCACCCAGGTGCTCCTAAACACTACATTTTTTGAAAAAGGACATTTTAGCAATAATATTACTCAATAAGTAAGTGAGAAAATGGGTATTTTTTCCCTGTGTGTCATCTTTGTTTCAACAATATTTATTGACACCTACTATGTGCCAATCACTCTTCTAGGAGCTTGGTATATATCAGTCAGCAAAAGAGACAAAAATCCCTGCTCCCGTGGACCTTACATTTCAGTATTAGTAATTGTTCTTTAAATAAAGATGCATTGAAGACATGCTATGTACACATAGAAAATATGTATATGGCCTAGGCCCTGCCTTCACTTAAGCTATCATGTACCTTCCACGTGAATGCATTACTGTGAACTCAACAGTCTTCAAAAGTGAACTTTTAAACAACTTTTGTGTCAATTAAAATGTATATTACAGTGACAAAATAAATTAAGATAGTAATTTTGTCTGTCTCCCATCTTTTGATTATTCATACACATGCAATAAGAATGTTTGAGTTCTTCAGATGCCAGCCTGTCACATTTTAATGTCAACTCTGTTCATTAGGGACATTCTACCCCAGGGGCTTTTTATCTTTTGTTTCATTTAGTAAAGAGTGAGAATGTCACAAGGCATGTGAGACGTTTTCGCATAACAGCTTCTTGATATACCAGTATGCATACAATAATAAGGGAGACAAGATAGCTATTTTTTTCTAAGCAGAGGATGATACTGTCTACCATTTTTATAGCATTTATATTAAAACTGTATATTCTTGGATTTATCAGTGATCTGTAAAAGTATACTGTAAACATAAAATGATAAATGCAGGTTTACAAATGTACAATGGCAGTGTAATTAGTAACAGCTTTTAGTGATAACAGATGTTCATAGACTTAAAATTTTTATTCTTTTTAAAAAAGTTTATAGACCAGTAGTTACCTGCGTTCAGATTCATCAGTTTACAGATGAGAAACTACTCAAGAAATTTTAGTCAAAATTAGCTATTGGAGGAAAAGTGACAAAATCCCTGTGACTCAGCCTATAGTCCTTGTCAACACACTGAAGTTTTATCTCATTATTATGTATAGAAAGAAGCAGAGAAATATTCATTTCACAAGTGCTTAATTTTTCATCTTACAGAAAGTAACTTCAAACTTCAATGTCTTACATTCTTTTTTTTTTTTTAAAGATTTTCTTTATTTATTTGAGAGAGAGAATGAGATAGAGAGAGAGAGCATGAGAGGGGGGAGGGTCAGAGAGAGAAGCAGACTCCCTGCTGAGCAGGGAGACCGATGTGGGACTCGATCCTGGGACTCCAGGATCATGACCTGAGCCGAAGGCAGTCGCTTAACCAACTGAGCCACCCAGGCGCCCAATGTCTTACATTCTTAGTTATTTGTTAAACCAATGTGAATTCTTTATTTTATTTTTATTTTAAAATGGACTTAACTGGAGAAAATGGCATTACAGGAAGTTTTTAAAATAGAGAAAAATCTTTAAAATCACTGACCCCCAAAAATTGCATTTACTTTTGTATTCTTACATTCTAGTTTTTAAGGTAATTGTACTACTAGCAAACATGCAATTCTGTGTGTGTGTGTGTGTGTGTGTGTTTACTTAAAAGTCCTTTAGGTTGCTTAATTTTTGGTATTACAAACACCATTGCAAGTAATATCTTGTGTATTGGGCTTTGTCTATTTATAATTGTCTTTATTTCATTAGAATTAATTTTTGAGGAGCATTAATAGGCTAAAAAATATGGACGTATTTGCTCTTGATACATATTTCTATGCCATTTGCCCAAAAGGCATGGTACTAATTCTCCATGCTATTAGCAATGGAACGCCATTGAAGGTAAATAAATCTTTTTCTGTTTTTTCCTCACTATTTCTCCATCACGTAGTCCATAGACCGGTGCAAAGTAAACACCTAAAAGTTATTGCTAAATGGATAATAAATATAAAAGTACCAGCTTCTATTGCACCCAAATGTCTATGCTACTGCCTTGGACATTACTATTTTAAAATATTTGGGTTTAATTAGCCATTTATATAAATTTTAGTGTTTTTATTTATAATCAGTATGGATCCTAACTCTCCAGTCACTGAGTATCTGCTCATGTGTATTTCCAGAACTTATTAACTATTTGCACACTGTGAAAATATAAGCCAGTCATACTCTAGAATCTCTGGGGTAAGACAAAAGCTCAATACCCATAAGTTGGGAAAGAATTGGGGCTTGTCAAGTAATAGAAAGGGTAATGAATTCCATGTTTCGTGTTGTCATCTTCAAGGTTTTGAAAATTATGATAAATTTAGGGTGCCAATTGGTAGAATGGCCATATAATTTGTGAGCTGAAACACTTTTGAGTAAAAGTGGCTGTTTCTCATAAATATGCTGGGACAACAGGCATACCCTGGGAATCTTCTATAAAAGTCAGAATGCAGTCACTCTGATCATGGACATAATAAACTTTATTCTCTAAAGTTTTTGTCTCTAAACCTCCATCTACATCATTAAGGAAGGGCATTCTGTTAAAAGAAAGGTGTTGTGGAAGGGAAGTCCATTCAAGCTGTGTTGTTGGAGAAAATACTTGTAAATGGGTAGAGATCCATGTCACAAGGGCATTAGAGGACAGGAAATTCAAAACAGGAACAACAAGGCAACCTAGAAATCGCCTTGAGATTTTCCCAGGCCTGTAACCAAGTATGGGTATTGTTAGCAAAAGTGGGGACTTGGAACTGCCCAGTATTCAAACTACCACGGAACTGTCCAGGCAGGATTCGGGAGGGAGATAAAATGAGCCTCCTGTGGAGGCTGGAACCATATGGAGACAAAGCCACTGCCATTGGCACATCTCGGAGGTAGAGGTGGGAGTGGGACTTACCCTGGCTTCTCCCTTCCCCGTGCTCTCTGGTCTGTCTTTGGTTGCACCAGAGATTAGCTCCCAAAGGAGCCTGGCGATTATACTTTGCAGAATCAGCCCTCAGTGAAATCAGACAGGAAAGTGCAAGGGAGGAGGAAGAATCTGAAAGAACTAGGATAATGGTCACCACACCCAATATAATCAGCATAGGAAGAGAATGAAAAGCAACTTACAAGCCAAACTGGCTGCACTGTTCAGGTCGGATGTACAGCAGGACACGGTGTGATTTTTCATGTGAGCTACAGTCATCTATTAGTCATTACAGAATTCCCTGGGAACTTAGAACCAGGCAATAGGCACTGATCTGAAGGGCTCTGGAAGATACAATGTCTTTAGTCAAGGGCACAGGACAGGGCAACTCTGACTTTTTGTTGTTTGTTAAAACATGTAAGACTTGTGGGTATAATAAATACATAAATAACCTAAGATGTGTTTTATTCTTGGTTTAAAATTTTGCTTTTATTTCTTTTACTGAGAGACAAGTAGGAGAAAAGTCAATAATGAAATAGAGTTCACTAGAATTAAAAATCTTGATGCATATTACTAATTAGTAATTAGAGTGCTTTTCTCTTTCTTTATACTTTAGAAGTACACACAGTGTGTATGTATCATTTGAGAGGAGATGCTGCTCTTGTCTTACCCTCATGGTGTCTGTTAAGATTTTGATTTCTTACTTTTTGACTCCTCTTAATTTGCAGGGGCACCAACATGGTCCACATATCATCCATACTATGAGACTTTCTGAAGCAACAGGAATCAAGAATCCTTCCACATAAATTGGAGGAAAGCTCCTCTTCTGAGAAGGAAAATAACTACTGGCTAAAGTCTAATTAGAATTCTAAATTACGGGCTTCAAAATTCTTAATCACTAGGATTCTCTCTGCTTAGTTGATCTCATTTTCTGTAACATTTAAAGTCAAACACTGTGCTCCACAAAAGCAAATATATTCATTTTAACCCACGCAAAGCTCTGCAGACTCAACCTCAAATCCTGGTCTCCTAATTTCACAGCCTAATGCTGACTCATTGCTTTCCACAAGTTGACTTTTTTTTTTTTTTTAATTCATCCTCACCATGACGACTTCTCTAACTATAGATAGAATAATCATAAGATTTTCTTAGCCAAATTGATGCACTTTTAAGAGTAGGAAAGATGCTATTTGTAATTACACCAGGAATAGGCAACAGTCACAACCGTCCCTGGCAAACCCAGATATATGGTCCACCCTAACTATAGCCCTAATCATTCTGTAAGCCTCTGAGCATCATAAACACATTTAAATAAATACAGATTTATACAGATATCCTCTACTCTCTCTCTCTTTTCCTCCCTCATATTTTTCCACCTATTATTTACTATGACCTTGATTTTGCTCAAGATCCAAGGAAAGTATTATTTCCGTATTTAAATGTATGAGTTTTCCTAAACTTTTGTCTGGGAGCTACCTGTTAGTTTGTTCTTTGGTTGGTCATTGAATACTACTGTGTATATTAGCCTTCGCTTATGATTCTCTTTGCATTGTCTATTCATAACTGATAGGTTTGGAGAAATGGAAGACTTGGTAACTTCTGGGTAAAGGTGGGACACCTTTTTGTCATTCTAGGGACTTGGAGACTATAGGCTAGTATTGACCAAAAAAAGTAAGATCAACCCGATTGGCCAGAAAAGCCCATCAGATGCTGTGGATCTAGGTAAGCAAGTTGTTAAGACCAGAAAATTCAGCCCAGGGGAAGGAGAAGAAGCAGTAGGCTATTCTATGTGGCTGTGCAGCAGGATCCAGATTCCAGGAGACCTGGTGTGAGCACTAGCTTTGCTAGCTGGTGTGAGGCTGTTGTGCGCCTCTCTATTTTTACTATAGGATGTGTGCCAGTAACTTTTAAACCACAACTCTTGATTCTAAGAGTTACCCTGTGGCTTGCTAGTGCATGCACCCTCCTAACTTAGTCTAGCAATGCTTATTCTAGTTAGCATGGAAGGTCCCTACATCTGTAACCAGCAAGTTTGCCTGAGATTTTCTGAATTTAGAACTGATTTGGTAATATTTGCCTGTGTGTTATTGAAATGTCTCATAAGCATTCAGCTAATATTTGGGGCTTTCACTTGGATAAATAAATTGCTTCTGTTACAACTAGGAAAACCTTTTGCCATTGTGTAATGGATTGATATATTGATCATTCAATAAAAATGGACATGAGTTTTTTTGTTGTTTTCGAAATTGTTTAAAAAGTTTTTACTTTGGAGCTGCCATCTTGTGTCCCTGTGTGTGTGCACCTAATCTCTCTCAGCTGGTCCCCCTGAGACCCGCCTAGCTCCAACTCTACTCCCCCTTGGTCCCATTTCCGCTCCAGCAAGTTGAGAGAAACTATCATGAACCAGGAGAAACTTGCCAAACTGCAAGCACACATGAGCATTGGTGGGAAAGGAACTGGTTGCCAAAAGAAGGTGGTTCCTAGAATGGCTACAGCAGATGATAAAAAACTTCAGTTCTTTTTTTTTTTAAAGATTTTATTTATTTATTTGAGAGAGAGAAGAGAGAGCACAAGCGGGTGTGGGGGGTTAGAGGGAGAGTGAGAAGCAGACTCCCAATTGACCAGGAAACCCCACATGGGATTCCATCCCAGGACCCTGAGATCATGACCTGAGCTGAAGGCAGAGGCTTAACAGACTGAGCCACCCAGGTGCCCCAAAACATCAGTTCTTCTTAAAGAAGTTAGGGGTAAACAATATCTCTGGGATTGAAGAAGTGAATATGTTCACAAACCAAGGAACCGTGATCGATTTTCACAACCTTATAGTTCAGGCATCCCTGGCAGCGAACACCTTCATCATTCCAGGCCATGCTGACACAGAGCAGTTGACAGAAATGCTGCCCAGTATCTTAAACCAACTTGGTACAGACAGTTTGACTAGGTTAAGAAGACTGGCTAAAGCTCAGCCCACACAATCTGTGGATGGAAAAGCACCACTTGCTACCAGAGGGGATGATGATGATGAAGTTTCAGATTTTGTGGAGAATTTTGATGAAGCTTCCAAGAATGAAGCAAACTGAATTGGGTCAGCCTCTGAAGAAAACAATACTTGAAGAAGTTACTGGGAGCTGCTCTTTCATATTAGGACTGCTTTTAAAAATTTTGTTCATGGATCCGATAAAATCTAGATCTCTAATGTTTTTAAGCCCAAGCCCCTTGGACACTGCAGCTCTTTCCAGCTTTTGCTTATACACAATTCATTCTTTGCAGCTAATCAAGCTGAAGCAGCCTGGGAATAAAGTTTGAAACAAGGTTAATAAAGTTCTTTGCCTAGTAAAAAAAGAAAGTTTTTACTTTGTCTTATAATGGACATAAAAAGGAGAAAGAAAAGGGTTGGATTTGTTGCTTTTGTTGTTAGTTAATGTGTCAATAAAGCAGTGAGTTCCTTTTAACTCTCTTGGCCTCTCCTTTTATCAAATATCCTATTTATGTCTGGTAGAAGAGATGACCTAAAACCTGAAAACCACTCACCACCAACAAAATGGTCTAGGAATTGCGAGTAACAGGAGAGTCTGGAGAGGTAATTTAGATATCTCAATTCATTTTATACTGTGTGTTTAAATTAATTTTAAATTTAATTTAAAACTGAAGCTTTTAATGTAATTAGTTAAAATTACTTACCTTTAATTTAAAATTTAAATTTCTATCAATGGCTCTTATCAAACTAGAAATTTCTAGTCCAGTATTAGATCATTTACGAACGTCACATTCCTCAATATATACATGCATATGTATACACATACATATATAATATACTTACATAGATAATTATGGTGGCTTCTTGTACTTACCACATAAACCGTATATTCCTAAAGGCCGGCAACTGCATTATATTTTCATCTTTCCTTACTGTCCCCAAAATGTCTTCAACAATCATGGTCATATGACAGGTGTTCAAAATAGTTGCTTAGTAAAGAAATAGCTTACATGTAAAAAATGCATTCAAACAGACTTTGACTACCATGAGAAAGTAAATGTGGTATGCAGTTGTTTTCTTCTTTTTTTTTAATCAACTTGAATAATACCAAATAAGAAGAGTATCAGAATCATCTTCCTATCTCAGGACTGGTGCTATAACAGTTAAATATCAATAACTAATGAAAGATTAGGGAGTTTATTCTAGAATCATAGAGATGATTTAAGGGTTAAAAATAAGATCAACATCAAAAAGCAGTATCTGGCTAATTCTTGTTCCTATGTGATAAAAAGCTATCCATTATAAACTTGTTGTCAAAGCAACATACAGATGGGATGGAGGGGGACCTTCCCCTGCTTCCCTGCAAGCCTCAGAGATGTAAGTCTGTTTTCAGACTGGTTCTCTGCTTGTGAAAAATATGGAATAGAGTTGGTAACCAACACTAGTGGATACAAAAATATAACTGATCCTTGAACCATTTTGCAGGATGTCTGGCCTGAGAAAGATTATTATTTTAAAATTGTAGCATATTATTCTTCATCAATACCAAGAAAGAATAAAGAAAAATGTCCTGTCACTATGCTAGATTTCATGTATACATAAAAGTCTTTTGTAGATAAGACACTGAGTGAATTTCTTTGGAGGTCTTCTTAAAAACTTCTTAAAAAATTTCCTCTGGTATGACTTAAGTATAGCCTTGACTACAGACTGGAGAATAGTTGATATTTAATTCACTTCAACCACCCTCCTCCATGAATCCCCCAAATATTTGTGTAGATTATGCATAAATGTGGTGTGGTCCTTTTAATTTTGTACATATGTATATAGATCCATTCACTAAAAACACTTAAAGGACAAGTAAGATCTAGGTTATACTTTCCTTCCTAAACACCCTGTTTTTTGTTTTTTTTTTTAAATAACAGCATTCACTCATATGTGGTATTTAAGAAATGAAGCAGATGAACATGGGGAAAAAAAAGAGAAGCAAACCATAAAACAGACTCTTAACTATAGAGAACAAACTCAGGGTTGCTGGTGGGGAGATGAGTAGGGGGATGGGTTAAGTGAGTGATGGGCGTTAAGGAGGGCTCTTGCTGGGATGAGCACTGGGTGTTATATGTAAGTGATGAATCACTAAATTCTACTCCTGAAATGAATATTATACTATATGTTAACTAACTAGAATTTATTTATTTATTTTTTAAAGATTTTATTTATTTGAGAGAGAGAGAATGAGAGAGAGAGAGCACATGAGAGGGGGGAGGGTCAGAGGGAGAAGCAGACTCCCTGCTGAGCAGGGAGCCTGATGCGGGACTCGATCCTGGGACTCCAGGATCATGACCTGAGCTGAAGGCAGTCTCTTAAGCAACTGAACCACCCAGGTGCCCCAACTAACTAGAATTTAAATAAAAAAAAATGAAACAAAAATAACAGCAGAGTGGTAAGAGGAAAATGAACTTGACCAAATACAAAATTAAGGTAAAATCTTTCCTGCAAAGGTATACAAAGGCATACAAAAATGACTGAAGTAGCTTTACTTCTTTTTTCAATCATAAATGAATATGTCTGTACTTTTAATATGTGTGGAGGCTGATAAACACAGCTGTCCATGATGAGAAAGCAGATTACATCATGTTACTCTAAATAAGCCTTCTAGTGAGAAATCAGGATTAAGTTGAATCTGGAGAAGAAATTTGTATTTGCCTTGAGAATTTCAAGCTGATCTCCCCCAGGGGGAATGATGGAGCATTAAGAGATTTTAATTTGAAATGAGGTTATGGGATTGTAAATTGCTGACAGATATTTAGTAAATGATTTAGTGTTTGTGTTTACGTTATAGCTTAGGAAAATTTTGACTTTTTCAGCAAACTGAAGAAATGTCTTCAAAACACATTTAGCTAATCAAAATGAAGTGTCCAAAGAATGGGGAAGAATGAGCAATTAAATCAATATATTTGAATTATGCATTAAAATTCAACAATAAACTTTCATTCTCTGAACAAGCCTCAGTCTTTATTGAGATTTTAGTACCACACAATTAATTTATTAGTATCAGTTAAAGATCTAGTGGTAATATCCTTGAGCAAGTGTTATAACTTACAATATCAGGTGTATTAAAAATACCTCTCTACCTGTCCACGTTTCTAGAAGAGATCATAATTATACGAAATCCAAGAAGGTTTCTTTTTTGGTGATTTATCACATAGTATTTCTGAAAACATTCAGTAGGTAAGATATTGTGTTTATTCTGCACCCACCAGGAGAGAGCAGCATAGCTCATGTCCAACTAGCTCTGTAAAAAGGTAGCCCCGTGGGCAAGATGGATAAGACCAAGATTGATACCACAACTTACTCCCTTTTTCCTTTTGAAAGTTTTATTTTCAGTGTGACACCTACTATCATACACAGTCCCTTTCTCTTCGTTTGACAAACTCACACAGCTTGCAAAAAGTGATTCAGCCTTCATTAGAGGAATGCCACCCAAAGGGTGTCTTTCAAAAGCTTTGTGTTTTTCAGCTGGAGACAAGACTGAATGCATCAAGGTTTCTATGGCCCTACAATTTCTAGTCCAAGATAGACACCACTGTCATTACAGATATTGCAGGAAAATGTGCTCTTTCTTACTGAGCTGCCTTGTGGACCAGTGTCACTGGGGAAATACCACAGCCTGGTTTATGGGAGGCTGTTCTATTTTATATGCAGGTACATCATAAAGAGCTTTATGCTTGGGACGCTAGCTAGGAACACACTGCTTCCCACCTAGCCAAGATTCTCCTTTTTATTTCATCTATTGGAAAAAGTGGCTTACCATTTAACTTTTTATGTCCATTTCTAATTTGGAATAATCCCTTTTCT